TCTCTTTTTGCACCCTCTTCTGAAGGATTCTGATGAGTTACTCTCATCTTATTTTTACCCTTTCAGTGTTGTCATAGGGTCACCATTGACATTCTGGGCCTTTTGCCTGGAAGTACCTATTATGCTGTTAATTTTTCAACTAATTATGTTTCATGTTGTTTGTAATGAAAAGCCTATGAACTCTGTGGCTACACCACTCCCCAGCTGCGTGACATTGGGATGCTGTGTAGTCTTTCTTCATGTTTGCTCATCTGTAAATGGGCTGATAATAATAAATATCACCTACTTTACAGACCTGGTAGTAGCACTAAATAAGATCATACATGTTAAGTGCCCATCCATGCTTAGCATATCAAAAGCACTCAGTGAAGTTCATTTATTATAAAGGTGAGCACAGGGCTGGGGCACTAATCCAGCTTTGAATGGTGATCGTGAAAAAATTTTCAGAGTCAGTCAAGAGAAGAAATGAGGAAAAGGGTGTTTCATGAAGGGGGAATGGCTACAAGTTTTTCACTAGTGATGCAGCATAAAGTGTTAGGGGATGAAATGGTAAGGGGGACTGGGAGCAGTTCATGGAGGTCTTGTTTTATCAAGCCCGGGGGCTCAGACTGCATTCCTGGGAAATGGGTCACACAGAAGAATTTGTACCTCGTTAGGGTGCTGGACACATGCAGACTTGAGGAAACAGAATTCAACAAGGTCTACAGGAGACATTGTGACCTGTGAGAAGACTGTTCTAAGAGCCCCAAGAAGATTAGGAATGCCTGGACAGTGAGGAGTACAAAAGGACAATTAAACATTTTGTTTACATCAGATGCTCACTTTGAAGATCCAGGGGACCTGAAGTAGAACCAAAGAAAGGTACAACTTGTCATGCATTGATTCCTTGTGAGAAAATGAATTAGATGAGCTGAAATATGGATTTCTAATGTGAAGGAATTCTGCCCAAGAAGTAGCAAGAGGGTGTCCCACATTTCAGTCTGCAAACTGTGTGTTTGGAATGCCTTGTGTGTGCACACGTGCACCAGTGTGCCATAGGCACAAATCTACTGGCTTGTGCAGGGAAGACTTTTTCTCCATTTTCCTGTGATTGCAAAATCATGTTTTCTCACAGTATTTGGTAAAATACTATTCTTATTTGCCAGTTTTGATTAGCTTTGTATCTGGGGTTGCAAGTTTTATTTTTGATTATTTATTTTCTAATTATTTTCTCAACAGTGGTTATAAGTAGACATGGAAATACACCAGAAAATGATTTATATGAAAAGAAGTCTTTTCTCCATCCCTAAGAACAGGCACATAAACAAGAGAAATGAAGAGCAACTAACTTTCATTAATTTGAATAGGCTCTACTGCTTTGTTATGCCAATAGGAGGAAGGGTTATGGAAATAAATGTAAATGCATGTTAGAGTGATAGCCAGCTGGCTATCTGAAGTGAGTGTCAGCTTTTTGGAAGAAACAGGGACATTTCCGTGTCATTTGTTTGGAATTGCCTCCCCAAAAGAGAATATTTTTCTTGCTACAGTGCTGTGCTTAAAGTAAGCACATACATTTGTAAGAAACAGATTGTTAGAAAGTGAGTTTCTTTGAAATGTTTAAGTAAAGAGCATTTATTATACATTGAAAATATTTGAGTCTTAACCCTTCCCAGTAGAGCAGACCTGTCTTCCTCAATCACCATTTACTATTAAAGGCATAAAGAGAAAAAGAGAGAAGTAATAGGTGTTGGTCTTGCCTCCTAAGATAAACAAGTAGAAAACAGGACTACTGTCTATGAGGCAGTGGTTTTCAGGCAGTGAACAGCAGGCATCCAGAACTGTGATCCTTGAGAGAAGAGAATCACAAGAGGGGGACTCACATTGGCCCTGGTTTCCTGCTTAAATACTTTCCCCGCTGTGATATAGGGAGGTGAACCCTAGCAGAGCATGGTAGTCTCATAGCATTGAGAGGGCAGAGATTGGAGTTTAAGGCGGCTGAAGAGGCTGGAATTTGTATGGCAGTGTACTGGAGAGGAGGGAGCTACTCGAGGGGTGAGGCCCTGCAAAGAGCCGCTGCTACTAGGCTAAGAACAGAATGGCAGTACCAAAGGTCATGTATTACTGAGAGTGATTGGGTTTCTGGCCTAGCAAGGTGAAGAGACCTTGCTGAATGCCTTAGCCATTCTATTGAGACGTCACATAGCCATTCTGTTGAGACATCACATCCTAGGAATAAAGACCATCCATACCTTACAGTAAGGACCGTAAGCTTGGACTAAGGACATAAGTGAAATAGATTCATCTTAACCAAGTGTAAAACCAAGACTGGCAGGATCAACAGGACCCACCAGTAATTTAGCTGCCACCAGAGCCAAACTGAACACCCTCCAATTGTTTACCTTATAATGGAAAGAAGCATACAAAGTAGCAGGGGATTGTGACCCATATTCAAAATAATAATCAATAGATATGAACAATGACTATAAAAGTGGGTAATACCAGATCTTGGTCTCTAATAGTATTCTCCATGGAAAGGAACCAGTGGTTTTTGGAGAATTGACAGGATCCAGGTCAGAGACAGGGTAGATACAAGATGAGCCCATAGTATTTTTTTTAAATATCAAAAAGTAAGGAAATAAAAGTAAGAAAATATTTTTAAAAGAGGGAGTATGTCACAGGGATACAGGAGCCAGCTTGAAGGGCTTCCCACTGGCTAAGTCTGAGACAGTTGGAGCACCAAAATAAGTACAAAGATAAATTATAAGTCATTGAAAAAAATAGGACTTCATGTATCTCCGGTGATCATAAATAGATATATTGGTAAACAATGTGGAATGCTGAGTAATGGATGGCAATATGGAGGGATTGCTGGAGTTGGAAAAGTCAGCATGTTGCGGTCATCACAGTATAAAGTTTTTATCAGGCAGACATCACTAATGGATGCTAAATCTAGAGGGAAATTTTGATGAGGGACAAGATATTTGCATGGTCTTAAAGTGTCTTCCCACAGATTACTTGTTAGCTGCAAGGGAAAAAGTAGTAATTTTTCACTGGAAAAGTTGGACAACACCTTGGCTGGGTGATCAAAATTAACATAACCAAACTGGGGAAGATGTACTTTTTGTGCCTTTAGATGTGATATCCAGATAAGAAAATATCACTTTTGAAGTTTTCTGAGAATGCATAACCTGAACTGAATCATCAGGAATCACCTGAGGAAATGTCATGAAAGTCAAAATAGAAATGTTCTATTAATATAAAAAGGGGGAGAGGCTGTATTCTTCTAAAGTGTCAGTGTCATAAAAGACAAAGGAAAGCTGGTGTTGTTCAGGTGAAAGGAAGCTAAAGAGTAACGGCAGCTAAATGCAGTATCTAACACCGGACTGGATCTGAATTGGAGGAAAGAGAAATACTATAAAGGGTGTTATTGAGTTAATTGAATATGGCAGTAGATTAAAGTATTATATAAATATTAAATTTACTAAGGCTGATAACTATATTGTGGTTGTGTAAGAGAATATTCTTTTTCTTAGGAAATAAATTCTGAAGTATTTAGAGGTAAAGTGCTGTGTTGTATTGAACTTATCTCCTTATAGCTCAGAAAAAAATGTCGAATGAATGAATGGACAGAGTGAGTGAATGGTTAAATAAATGAGTTAAATGTTGATAATAAGTGAATCTGGGTAAAGAGTACCTGGATACTTTTGTACTAGTATTATTCTACAACTCTTCTGCAAGCTTGAAATTATTTCCGAATACAGAAATTTAAAGACCAGTTATGTTAGTGCATGCCTCCCAGCACTTTGGGAGGCTGAGGTGGGAAGATCACTTGAGTCCAAGATTTCGAGACCAGCCTGGGCAACATAGCAAGACCCCATCTCTACTAAAAAAATCAGCTGGGCATAGTGGCATGCACCTGAAGGGCTAGCTGTTTGGGAGGCTGAGTTGGGAGGATTGCTTGAGCCCATGGGCTGCAGTGAGCCATGACTGTGCCACTGCACTCAGCCTGAGACTCTGTCTCAAAGGAAAAAAAAAAAGAAAAAAAAATTAAAACAAAAAATCCCAGCAAGTATAACTATGATTTAAAGAGAAAAGTAGAGTACGCAGAAAAGATAACGTGTTTCTTGACTACCTTTGTGTGGATTTTTTACCCTTTGGGTTGTCTGTGGTAAATACATTAATCCTATCGCAGTGTCGGTCACTTAGCATGCAATGCCATTCTATCTGTTGTCTAAGAAAGCATATCTATGCAGGAGGAAATAATAAATATTGCTATTCAAGTTGAAACTATTATGTTGTATGGTGTCATGGAAGAGTTTGGAGCAAGGGTTGGTAGAGCTGGGCACTGATTTCTTCTTTGATACTTGCTGGCTGAGTGATTGGTGGAAATTTCCCTAACCTTTGGGAACTTCGGCTGCTTCATTTTAAAATGGTGCTTGTCTGTTCTCAAGATCTTATGGCTCCAATGAGAAAATGCATGTGAAAGCTCTTTATAAATAATAATGATTTCTTCTGCAAACATTATGTTACTATTAACAAGACATTAATAGTTTTTTTTTGAGATGGGGTCTTGCAGTGTTGCCCAGGTTAGAGTGCAGTCATGGCTCACTGCAGCCTCCACCTCCCATTCTCAAGTGATCCTTTTATCTAAACCTCCTGAGTAACTGGGACCACAGGTAAACACCACCACATCTGGCTATTTTTAAAATTATTTGTACAGAAAAGGTCTTGCCGTATTGCCCAGGCTGGTCTCAAACTCCTAGGCTCAAGTGAGCCTCCCACCTCAGCCTCCCAAAGTGCTGAGATTACAGATGTGACCCACTGTGTCCTGCCCCTATTAATAGTTTTAGTTAAAATGGCTTAGACGGAGGTAGAGATTTTCCTTCTTCCAGGTGGCCCTTATTTCTCTCACAAATCAAGTTTTTAATTGATTTGATTATATGAGAGAGTTTCTTTTCCAAGTGGGCCCTTCTGTTCCTTCTGGTTGCTTCCTTCCTCATTTTCTGCCCTTGTTATTCCAGGTAAAGCTTCAGTGACTGAAGGAGTGTGGACTTTTTGAATTTTAAGAACAATAAAGTTGGAACACAGCAGAGGGTGTGTAATAAAAGACAATATAGGTAAGTCAGAATCAGCATTTCACCCATTCTCAAAGAACTCATGGTTCTGAAGTTCCTTGTAATCACTCTTGCTTTGTTCTGACATTTGTGTGAGGCTCTGGCATAAAGGGATCTTCCAGGCCTTTGTGGTGCCCAGGGGCAAAATTAGCCAACAAAAGGCCTGTGTGGTTTGGGGAAAGTAGGAAACACACGTGAAGAGGCCAGCTCCCTCATTGGAGAAGGCAAGCAGTCTGGGCCAGGGTGGTAGAAATGCGTAAAGCAAAGGCCACAGGAAACAGTGTCAGCCCAAGTCTCTGGAAATGACAGAAAAGGATGCTGCTGGATTTGAAGTCACATAAACCAAGTTTACACAGTGTCAGCCTGAGTCTCTGGAAATGACAGAAAAGGATGCTGCTGGATTTGAAATCACGTAAACCAGGTTTATGTGAAGTCACATGAACTAGGATATGTCATTTGGGGGCATGCCTTTTCCCTTAGTCTGGAATTGCTTTTGATGAAGGCTTTCATCCTGGAAGATCACTGTTACCAGGTCTGCCTTCTTCTCTGGAGTTGAACAGTTGAATCCAGTGCTGCTCAGAGTGCCAATCTGAGATAAGATAAAGAACTTGACCTAGAAAGTAAAAGATGAATGAAACAGTGTCTCTAGCGTCATCGTTGATTCCATGTCTGTTTCTGTGTTCTATTTCTGTGTCTGTCTATATGTTGATTACTATGTCTGTATATATAATCTCCAAATGATATATTGCTTAGCTTTGTTTAATTTTGAGCTTGAAGAGAATGGTATATTGCATGTAGTATTCTGCAGCTTGCATTTTTTTTTTGCCCTGTTATGTTTTAAGATTTACTTGTTGCATGTAATGGTAATAAACTAATTTTTTCTGGTTAAGTTAAATTCTGTGGGGAGAATTGATCACAGTTTATCTGTTGTCTCCCTTCCCTCCAATATTTGGTATTTTGTTGCCAGGCTAGTGGATGTAAAATAGTATATCATTGTCATCTTTATTCCCTGATTAATAGTGTGATTGTACATCTTTGATATCCTTTGGAGAACAGAGTGCATAATTTTAATTTAGACAAAAATTTCAGTCTTTTATTGTATAGTGAATGAAGCTTGTTTCTGCCCTTTGTTTTTTTTTTTTTTTTTTTTTTTTTTTTTTTTTTTTTTTGAGAAGGAGTCTTGCTTTGTCACCCAGGCTGGAGTGCAGTGGCACAATCTCAGCTCACTGCAAGCTCCACCTCCCAGGTTCACACCATTCTCCTGCCTCAGCCTCCCGAGTAGCTGGTACTATAGGCACCTGCCACCACACCCGGCTAATTTTGTGTGTTTTTAGTAGAGATGGGGTTTTACTGTGTTAGCCAGGATGGTTTTGATCTCCTGACCTTGTGATCTGCCCGCCTCGGCCTCCCAAAGTGTTGGGATTACAGGCTTGAGCCACCGCGCCTGACATTTTTTTTGTTTTTTGAAGCATAGTCTAAAAAATTTGAAACTGTTTATATGGTACAAATATTTTCATTGCGGCCAGGTGCGGTGGCTCATGCCTGTAATCCCAGCACTTTGGGAGGCTGAGGCAGGCAGGTCACCTAAGGTCAGGAGTTCGAGACCAGCCTGGCCAATGTGGTGAAACCCTGTCTCTACTAAAAATATTAAAATTAGCCAGGCATGGTGGTGCGCCCCTGTAATCCCAGCTACTTGGGAAGCTGAGGCACGAGAATCGCTTTGAACCTGGGAGGCAGAGGTTGCAGTGAGCCAAGATCATGCCGCTGCACTCCAGCCTGGGCGACAAGAGTGAAACATCATCTCAAAAACAAACAAACAAACTAAAAATGTTTTTATTGCTAATCTTTGTTTTTTCTTTTCTTTTGAATTGAACTTCTTATTGGTTTATATTCTTATTCAGTTTTTCTTTCTCTGCTGATTTGGAAATTATAACTTGTATTTCTGTTCTTCTAATGATTACCCTGAAAGTACATTGTGCATACACAGAAGTTTTAAAGTCAGTCATTATTTAAGGTATTCTAATCCCCTTCTAGAATAATACAAAACTCATAGTTAAAAAAAAACTAATGAAGACTCCCTCCTTCTGTACATAGATGTTCTTTTCAGCATATCAGTTTTATTATTTGCTTCACCATACAAATTAGTCAATTTTATTGTATGGAGATGGTATTTTTTTAACTTTATATGCTTACCATTTCTTATTCCTCTTCCTTTCTTTATCCTTACCTTTCCTCTGATGAGATTCAGCTTCTTCAGAATTTTTTCTTTTCTTGAGAATCTTTTGGTGGTAACGTCTCTCATTTTGGTTTCTGAAATGTCTTTATTTCACTCTTACAGTTCTTAGTTGATAGTTATTTTTTTCCCCAGTGTTGTGGACGTACTGTTCCATTGTCCATAACTTTCATTTTTGCTGTCAGGACATCTGTTTATCTTTCATTTGCTATTTTTTTAGTAGATGATTTGACTTACTCTAAGTTTGTTTATTTGTCTTTGATGTTCAGCAGTTTCATTACAACATGTCTATTTACAGCTTTCTTTTAAGAATTCTGTTTATATTTTTCGTGTTTCATGTATCTATCAATTTATTTCATTTATCCACTCTAAATATTTTTCAGCTCCCAATGCTTTGAATGCTGTCTTTTCTCCATTCTCTCTATCATCTCCTGGTTTTGATTTAGTGGAAGTTAGAACTTCTCTTTTTATCCTTTATGTCTTAATTTCTGTTCAGTATTTTCTTTCTCGTTTTTCTCTGCTTCATTCTGTAATTTAAGATTTAGCTTTTAGTTCAATACTTCTCTCTTTAACTGTGTTGGCTCTTCTGTTTAGCCTATCCATTGAATTTTTAATTCAAATGAGTATGTTTTTTAAATTTCTAAAATCTTTATTTCTGCCTTAAATCTGCCTGAGTATTTTTTGATGGTTTCATTTTGCTTGCTCATTTTTTTGGCCTCATCATTAAGCAGTTATTTCATATCCTATATTTGATAATGCCAGTATCTGAAATCCTTGGTGGTCTAAATGTTTTTGGACTTCTTTCCTAGTGTACAGGGTGAGTTTTGATTGTATGCTAATATTTGCTTGATAATTATTTCTTGGAATCTTGAAGTATTACTTCTTGAAATTTTGTTTGTACTAGGAGCCAGGAGGATACTACAGACCCAGGACCACACTTCTCTTCTCTTTGAATACCTGTTCCCTTAGGTTTCAAGCTGGGCTTTCCCCACCATGCTGAAACTTGGCTGTCTAGTTGCCCCACCCCTTGGTTGGTATTCATAGTTACCTCCAGGGCAACTCCAACTTTCTTTTTTGCTCACTTGTGACTGTTCTTTGCTCAGGAACAGTACATGTTCCCACTATATTCTCGTGGGATTTGTTTCTCTACCCGGAGCTAACCAGTGCATTAAAAAGTATTTTTAAATATAATTTATTCAGGCTGTAACTATAGTATAGCAGAAGGGCCTTGCAAATATCTAATCCATCACAATTCCTGAATTAGGAATGCTCAAATGATTTTTAAAAATCAGTTGTCTCTAAGTACTCTTTATCAATTTATTACTTTCCTTTGTTTCACCTAAGGATAAAGAAAATATTGCAAGAGTGATCTTTTTGAAAGCTAGCTAAACATATGACATACTATATCCTTACACTTTTGCCAGGGTTCCTTTTGTAGTTAATCTGTTGAATGTTTACTCCCCTGGAAACTGGAATTACCACTCTTGGATAACTCATTAGAACAGAGTACTTATTCAGCACCAATTTGTTATGCCTCCCAATCTATTTTCTGTCACAATGCCATTTTTCTTTCTATCCAGAGTCCTAGATATAAACGAGTCAGTTGTGGGTCTCTGCCTGTGGATGCGTTTCTTCTTCACATGGAGTGCAGATAATTGATGTTTGCTGTTGTGAATTAGAGGCATCATCTCTGTAAGCTCCATGTTCTTACATTCTGCATCCCCTTAATAGGCATAGAAGGCAGCATGAAATTTTTGGTCTGTAGAATGCTAAGTTGCCTTGGGCTTTGGCACATGAAAAAAATATTTCAAAATGGATGTCAAGTGAGGTTGCTGATTTAACAGTTTTTTTTTAAAATTATTCCTTCTGCAGCAGAATAATTACCAATAGATAACCACATGTTTCTAGAGGCTACTCAGATCTGACAAGTGTGTGTGTGGATTTTGTGATGGAAGTAATACATTAGGCATGTCTCTAATTTGCAGTGTCTTTGCTTTGTAGGTTACAGGTAGGATTTTTGTAATACTAATGTAAATGACTAGTATTACAGGCACTGAAAGAAAGACAGGCCTTGAAAACATTTCTAGGAAATGCGGAGCTCTGTGATGAGAGATTCTTTGAGGAACTGGCTCTATACTTTCATTTGAAAAATAAAAATATCAGAAAATTGTGTAGCTTTTCCTTCCTTTGATAGCACATTCTAATGAGTAGTAACTTCCATCTACGTCCTTGTATCCTTAGGTTTTTCTTGGCCGTCAGTTCAGGCACTGCTGCTGGTTTTTGCTTTCCAAATGGTTGGAAAGCTGAGCACTTGAGAAGCTTCACCTGGGGAGCTGCGAAAGTGATGGAGTAGTGCTGGAGATGCTTGTCAGAGATGACCGGTGCTTCCTGAGCAAGCTTTGCCCAGCCTTCTGTGCCAGCAAAGCCATCAGGCTCTATGGCACACTGCTCAGGCAGAGGGAAAGACACCATTGCCACTGCTCCAGTTCTGTTGTCCTGGGCTAGGGGCTTGATTTGGCAAAGCAGTAACTGGCCCTTTGAACTTGTCAGTTCTCTGTAAATGTGTCCCTTTGAAGGTTATGAGTTGCATCATTAGCATGATTTTTAACAGAATTCACCTGAGTGCTGTTTCTTTTCCACCATGAAGTTGGATTCTGGTCATATCAAAACGATGCAGAGACACAGCCCAAGAGTGCTGTCTCTCAGAGGTTTATGTCAATTAGGATGCTAAAAAGTGGGGCTTGACAGTCATTGTCAAGACAAGTGACCA